ACGACAAAACTTTTCCAACTAACGGGATCTTTTAAATTTAAAATTTTTCTCTCCTTGTACGGCAAATTTATATCTCGCGATCTAAGCGTTTTTCAGATCAATGGCCGATCGACTGCTTAGAACGCGAGATATAAATTTGCCAACTATTCCATGGATAAGCCAATCATAAGACAAAGAATATATTGTAAACGGTAATGCACTTACGTTGCATATACTTAAAAGAAAGTACAAACAGCTTGATTTTTGAAAGAATTTCTACAGTGATTAATGAATGCTAATAATTTATTTCTACATCAAGTTCTTGTGTACGGTAATTATTTCATATTCAGACTATACGGAACCGTCAAGTTGCGTCCTCTGTTGAACTTCGGTTTACTGTCTTAGTTTCGGTATATACTTCGTATTTGAGGACTATGCATGATAATGTGTTTGTACTTTCTTTTAAGTGTATGCAACGTAAGTGCATTACCGTTTACAATATATTCTTTGTCTTATGATTGGCTTATCCACGGAATACTTCACAGACATTTCTCCATTGTGTTATGTATAAAACAGTGTTTCTAACATTACGCGTACGCCTTTGTTCCAAAGCGTACGGTACGCGAACTAAATTGAAAATACGCTTTGTATCAACCAATAGGAAAAGACAGAACGATAAAATCCACGAATTACCACGCTTATGTACGCGCTGCTCAAAATTCTCATTAGAAACCCTGGTACAAAACATACAGAAGTCTTTTGCATGCACATCGACTTCGTCTCATACCAAGTACTTGGATTGCATAATATTCAACAGTATGCATTAAGAAGTTTCATATAGAAAGAAAAAGATTGACTATTTAAGTATTTATCTTGATTCAGCTTTTCTGAGTTAGTTCTTTTATTTGATTGTCTTGAATACTTAGTCCTAGTGACCGATAGTGTAGCCAGAAGAAGCCCGAAAAGGACGAGGCATCAAAAACTCTTCTTAGCTACATCACTGCCAAACTGGCTTTTTACATGTACGTGATTCGCTTTGGTTCAGTTCATCTCCTTATATTTCTCTTTCTCTGTCGGAGTTTTCATACGGTTTCGAGTACGCACATTTTACTTTCAAACATGACAAGTGAATCGTATACTATGTTCCTCGAGTACTCAAGGTCGGAGGTGCAGAATCTACCCGTTTGCGCCGACGACCGTTGGGGGAAAAAATTTTTTCGGGGAAACTTTTGAAGGTTTAGGAAAAACGAAGAATATTGTTAGCCTTTAACGACTATCTCCTAGTTTTCAACTTAGAGGTTGAAGAAGCAATAGTTTTAGCAACAATAAAATCGTATCTCCTCCCACCTCATCTTTTATACTATAGTAAGTTTGCATTAGGCGCATCTTGGTATGAGCTGTAAAAAGTCCAGACTTTTCACACTGTGAAAAAGTGGGGAACATATTTTCATTGTTTGTATGGAATACTAAAACAGGTGTTTTAATATAAGTGATATGCTATCTTCTCGATTCGTCGACAGCTAAATAATTGTGGTAACTTGTTGACACATCAAAATATATGCAATAAAATATAAATTCCTGATTGTCGATGTAATTGTGATAGTGCATGATTAATGAAAATGGATTGCCGAAAAGAAAAACTTAAAGAGATTAATATTTATACATTTGATCGAAGAAAATAAGCACATATTAAAAACACCAAACATAAAAAAACACGAAAGAAACCTAAAAGAAACAAAAAAAATCAACTGTATTTATATTGAATTCATATTTTATAAAACTATTAGCACATACGGATTCAAATGTTACCATTATCATCTTCACGTATTATCGATTTAACACATGTAATTAGTGAAGATATTCCAACATGGAATGAAGGAGAAGGTTTTACACAGAGTCAAATACGTTTTATTAATATTACTGGTTCTAATGTACATCAATTACATTTCAAGAAAGCTGGTCTTGGCACACATTTTGATAGTGCTGCTCATTTTGGTGGAGATCGCTGGGTATGTATATGATAATACTTTATAAGATCCTTCATCATTTTTTGGATCAAATTACATCAATTTGATTTTGACTTGTACAAAATTACGATTAGAACTTGTTATTGGTGCTTTCATCACATCTGCTACATTAGCACCCGTTGTTGATATACTGACATATCAGATAGTATAATAATCTGACTTAATGACAAAAATGCGCACGCGGCAATTTTGAAATTCAGCACATGCTCGGACTCTAAACCGAGCCGTCAGAACACGCGTTGTTTAGGCGAATGTTCATATTCAGAACTGTGATCACTGAGGACTGTGAGGACTGTGATCTCACCCCCTCTGCACACATCACAATTTTCAGATCCACATAAAAAAAATTTTCAAATCTACTTAGAAAATGTACACCTAAATAACATAATCACAGTCCTCACAGTGATTACAGTCCTCACGGTAATTACAGTGATCAGAGCAGGGCTGGGCCACTCCAACTCCGGAGTTGAGGACTTTTTTGGTGGAGTTGGAGTTGAGATTTTAGTAGGCTGGAGTTGGGTTTTTGAACTTTTATTCTCAACTCCGTTTTGCATTTCTGGAAATGTTCAATAGCTGTAAACTGATCTTCTAAACGATAGAGTGGCTGTATTCACGAGTGAATTCGGAAGTTCTTTGCGCTTTCATACTGGAAAAAGCTCAAAAACGTCCCGAATCCTGGTAAAAACCGAATAATCTTCCTTACAAAAGTGAAGCAACTGGAGTTGAGCTTTTTATTGAGAGAGTTGGAGTTGGAGTTGAAAAATTTTGAGAGGAGTTGGAGTTGGAAATTTGAAAACGGAGTTGAGTTGGAGTTGAAAGTCAGCGGAGTTGCCCAGCCCTGGATTAGAGTCCTCACAGTGATCACAGTCCTCACGCTGATCACAATATTATTACGGATCATATAGGTGATCATTTTATAAAACGGCTGCGCGCATGACCAAAATATTTTATTTTGAAGATGCCGCGGGTTCTTTTTTATTATTATATGAATAATGCCAAGATGTTGATATATACTTTTCATCAACATCTTTTGTCGCTACGCTAAAAATAAAAAGTCTTTTCTATACACAACATCTATGTGAAACATTTACTACTGATGCCAAAATAACTTGCATAGATGCGCATCGATGTTCCATGCATGTGTACCTCATAAAATTCGACCATGCACATGATCGTATGCTTCTGCACGCTTTTTTTGTTCATGCGCTTGCTTGTTTCTGTTTCTTTTATGCAGAGGTGGGCAAGTCCAAATTCAAGAACGACGAATGTGGAGTGGTTCCTGTTTCTCAGTCATCTTATAGCGAGTTGCTTTTACCGTTATTGGATGCAGAATTTGTTCCGCTACAGAGCTATGTGAGAGTTGGAATCTTTAAGTGACACAGAAAAAAAATTTTGTCACTTTTCTCATCGGACTTGTGATGGCGGACTTGTGATGGCGGACTTGAACTACCTCAGTTTTACAAGTCCGATG